ATTGGGCCATAATTGGTAAATGTTCAATTTTCAATTATTAAGAACTTATACCACATTGATTTTCTGTGTCAGAAATTATGCTATTATTAAATATTTAATCGGAATCTAAATTCAGAGATATATTTCGCAATCAGCAGAAATTTTAAGTCGAGTCATAGTTGAAAATAGATACAGCATCATATCTAATTTTAGAGAAGAAATTATGTATTGATATAGTTTGAAATTTACTGTTCATTATTAGATATTTTGAAAAATAATTAAAGGTAAGTTTTATAGATTTATTAAAGACTTTGCATTAATGAGGAATAATATTTCGGAAATGTTTTTTTCTTCATTTTTTTTACAATACTTTTCTAATTACTTCGTATAAATTGCTTATTTCTTGACCAACTTCAATGTGGTTTAATTCAAAGTCTTGAATTCATGTGGTTCTTTGATATGCTGTATCTAACCGTGTATCTATATTTAAGATTTTGGGCTCCATGTTTGAATTGGTACAAGGGTCCTAAATTAAACTTCGTTTGATTTCATCAAATATTGAATTGTTGGGATTCTTTGATATGCTGAATCTAACCATGTATTTAGATTTTGCAAATTGACCCATGATAGGTAAAAGTCCAATTTCAAATTTTTCAGTTTTTTGACCACATTCATTCTGTGTCAGAAACCTATGCTATGTCAAATATTTAATCACAATCCAAATCCAGAGCTGTATCAAGCTTGAATGTAGTGTCCATACTTGCCCCAATTGTTCAGGGTTCGACCTCTGCGGTCGTATCAAGCTGCGCCCAGGAGCATTTTATTTATTATTGATTTCAGAGTTTGTTATCTATTCGAATCATTATTCTATGATCGGGTGGAAAAACGTTGATATAATTCAGCGTATGTTTTTTATTTCTTTTTTTCCTGTTTTTGTTTTTTTTCCGGATTTTTTGGTATTGAGTATCTTAGTGGTTGTTTTTTTTTTTGTTGCTTGTTTGTTCTTATGTGTGTTTGTTGGGTTTTTTCCGCCACCCCCTCATATAAAAAATAAGGAGATGTGGTATGATTGCCAATAATACAACTATCCACCAAAGTTCAAATGAAGTGGATGTAAGCAATTATAGGCAACCGTACGCATACGGCCTTCAACAATGAGAAAAACCCATACCGTATAGTCGGCTATAAAAGGCCCTGACATGAAAAAAAACGAAACAATTCAATTGAGAAAACTACGGCCTAATTTATAACAAAACAATTTACGAAAAACAAATATAGCAGACATGAACCAACGACAACCACTGAACTACAGGCTCCTGACTTGGGACAGGCACATAAAGAATGTGGCGGGGTTAAACATGTTTGTGAGCGCTCAACACTCCCCTAACCTAACCTGGGACAGTGGTGTAACAGCACAACATAAGAACAAACTATAAAAATCAGTTGAAAATGGCTTAACTCATCAGATCGATACAAAGCAGAAAAACATCAAACAAAATCACAGACCGGACGTGGCAGGGTATTTACCATCTCTCATCTCTAACAACAAAAAAGACACTAAGTACAGATCTGAGAGTATTCGCAGTTACTAACAGCTAGTTCAAAGCCAATAACAAATAATTTAAAAATTCATGTATCTAAGACTAGAATATCAATCAGAACACATCACATCCAATGGATTTAGTGTAAAGACGTCATTAACAGCCAGAGAAAAACATGACCTTGTGCAATGCCAAAATAAAGGTATCGACAGATTGTAGTACCGTTAACGTGCATATGTGTATAACAACACCATTTAGTATGATTTTAATTTAAAATTACTGATAACAAAATCAATATTTTTATCAATAAAAACAATATTCAAAGATCTATTTACAGTGTTGAATTGGTAACCTTTTAGAATAAGTTTATTTAAAGGATTGATAAGTTTACCCGGATCGTATATAAATTTCCGGGCTCGGTAAACAACATCACTGTAAAATTTAAGATGTGCTATTCCGTCTGAAATAAGTTTTTTTCAGGTACCGCCTTGCAAACCAAATCTTTGTATCTATGGAAGAATTAAGTAAAGGTTTTAAGTAATTTGTTGTAACGAAATCCCAAACTTCATAACTTACCAGTACCATACCTCTATGGTCGGGTTGTTGTCTCTTTGACACATTCCCCATGTCCATTCTCAATTTTATTATAGATTACGTTCATTGAAATCCAAAACGTCACTACAGACAGGGCATATAGCGAAAGAATTGGGATATATAAACACCGTAAGACGGTGCCAGAGGAACATCACCGTCCAAACAAGGAAAATTAACAATTTGGGAAAGAAAAATCATCCCTTTTGTCGTAAATTTTTCATAGTACATTATTTTTGATGCATATTTTAAAAATCTCATTTTGAGTCAATAGGGATTAAGGTAACGGAGTTATAAGAACAGAAATAACAATTGTACAACATATTCAAGGCATATGATACTCCAACTACTATTATATATACCACCACTTTCGGGGAAAATTTCTTGAAATATATGATATAGTGTGCAACTCGCTGGTTTTGTACACCATTTCCAGATCCATTACAAACTAAGGATGACTTAAACTATATTGTAAGGAAAGGATGGGAAATAGTAAATGAAATAAGTGAAAAAACGAATTATAGCAAAGCTATTTTTCGTGGATATTTCACATCAATTAAATTCAACTTATTTCGTAATCAGACATTAATTACGAATAAATGTCAATTATGATACTTAATTATATTTATAATTAAAGGAAATCACGTACAGGAAAAATTAATAACACGTATACTATACATGTATACTGTGTAAAGACGTCAACGAAATCAATAATTCGTGAACAATATGGTAGTTTGTCTACAACAGTTCATAAGTTGAGTTTATTATTCCACAGACATGATTTCTCTGGACAATCCTCCGATTGCAGCAATGCTACATTTTTTAAACCTCATATCAATTGGTTTTGAATCTATATAGATAGCAAATCGAAAAAAATATTTTAAGATTATTTATGAAATCAGGATAAAAGATTAATATTAATTCCTATTCCCTTTTGTATATATATCAAAAGTATAGAAAAAAAGAGATGTGATACGATTGCCAATGAGACACCTATCCAACAGAGTCCAAATGACATAGATGTAAACAACAATAGGTCACTATAAACAATGAGTAAAATCCATACCATATATACTCAGATATAAAAGACCCCGACAAGACAAATGTGAAACAATTGAATGAAAAAAATTAACGGCCTTATTTATAACAAAACAATTAGCAAGAAACAAATATAACAGACATCAACCAGCACTGAATTACACAATTCTGACATAGGACATGTTTTACTGTTTCACAAGGTACGGAAAATTTACTGACAGTTACAGTGTAGTCCACATGATTTTGCTTGTCAGTAAATATACCTAACAGCGAGGCTTTGGGGGTTTCATGGTAGCAAGCTGACCCAATGTGCGGGGGGAAGTGCAAGGAGTCCCATCAACCACCGAGTCACTGGACGTAATTTCTGCCTGCTTCTTTATAGAAAACACATTCTATACACTGTTTATGAGTGCAAGAGTTATATATCTTATAGTTAGTATCTGTTTAAGTGCTTTCTTCATTGTACTAAAATTAAATTATTTTAATCAAACTCTTATCAATGTTTTCTATCACAAGCTTGCTTTTTTTTTACCTTACAAGTCATACCTATATTTGTACTGCATCTGTATATAAGTATACGAAAGTCGGTTGTAAGAGTTTTTCTAAGGTCATGTTATTTGTTGTCTGTAAATATATGCAGACACTAGTTATAATTTTAAATTTAAATTTATTTATCTAATTATATCCATTTTGTGATTCCAGAGAAGATGCGGATAGAAGATAAAGTCGTATCTCCGTCTGTGTTTTGCTTGTGGAAACCTTAAAAATGATTCCTATCACAAAATTTGATACACGTACAATGCCATAAAGCACGAAAGAAAATCTGAAAGTTTCATTGAAATCCAATCTGTGGCGTAATAGAATCCGGTATTGTGTATAGTAATAAACCCACATATATTTCTTCATTTTATATAAATCATGTACATTTTATTCCAGGAAGGACCAAACTATAAAATTGGTATTTAGTAAATTAATTCACGTTTCGTCTAACACCTAACCATTTAATAATATAATTCCATAAATACTTAAGACAGACAAAGTTTCATTAGTAAATAACCAAGCAAGTTTTGCTTCATTTGAGAGATCTGAAAAATTAAGGTTTATCTCTTTGGAAAATATCTCTCTGTGTCATCGTTGTATACTGGACATCTGCCTGAAAATGTCGCGATGAAATACTTGCCACTGGACGTTAAGCAACCAACACTCGATCGTATGATGTACAACTAATGACTCGGGGAGTAAAGTGTTGTTGATCTTCAACCAAATTAGAGTACATTTCTTACAAAGCCTCTGATATTCTTACAATATATAAAGTTATATATCTTCCTCTTTCTATTTTAAGATCACGGGCACTGATTCTGATTTTACATATGGCACTTCTCAATCGAAAATTGTCACGTTAAAGATAGACTAATTTCTTTAGAAAAACAAGCTTTTAGTTTTGAAATAAGTATCTAATTTACTAAAATTCCAAAATTTGATAAAACCTTTACAAAGTTTTTGCTTAACTGACCTGATAAAAAAAGTTCAGCCGTTTTAAGTCACGTGACATCTCGGAATTTTGAATATTCAGCTTTTTAAAGAATATAATGACTTAATGTATGGATGAATACCAGCATTCGATATTATTAGCAGAGACATATAATACAATTGTATTATATGTCTCTGTTATTAGTAAACATGTTTAGATTCATACACGATTTAATTGTGCAAACTACATAAGTCTCCACCTAGACTACTGTACAGTAACACAATGAATTGTTATAGTAGTTTCAGGTCTCCAGTAACCTATAATATATAGATCAGTAGAAAATACGAATGTGTTGTTACCGGCATTTGACTTCGACTATTATTGATTTGTGTCGTCATAATCAAATGTCACATGATATGATCATGTCCATTTTCTTTGTTGATGATCTTTCAATTACGTTCTTCATATAGGTGTGAAAAATAGACAGATACACAGGTAAATGATTAATAGACCGTTTGATTATTATCACCTTTAATTAATTTGACATGCACCTTGATTGAAATATACAGTAAGACACGCCCTAAGGCATTTGTTTACATCTAACACGTGTTTTTTTACTTTGACAGATAGACATGTTGAAACAAGATTGATGAGGACTTTAAAGAGACGTGTGTAAACTGGTGTATAACACATCAGGACGGAATGGAGGGAAGAGAAGTGAAAACTCTAGTCTTCTTTGACTTAGAAACTACTGGTTTCACCAAACCACGAATCACAGAGTTGAGCATGATGTCCGTCCAAAGAGAAGATCTCCTGACTACAGTCGGTACACCAAGAGTAGTCAACAAAGTAACTTTATGTGTTAACCCACAGAGGTATATGGAACCAGAGGCATCCAGAATTACAGGTGAGCAACCGTATTGATATATATATATATTTTTTTATTTTTTCGTGAATAAGTGCATATTAACGTATTGTTCTTAGTTATAAAACCATCAATTTCCTGTTCATTTACATACATGTATGAGTATTTTCAGTTTTTGTTATCTGTCAAAATGAGAGGTTGTATCATGGAGAGCAAACATTACAAACAACAGAGGGAGAGAAAACGTGTGAAAAGTAAATAAACATGATAACAGTAAAAACTAAATGCAAAATAAAAATATAGGGACGACCAAATATTCTCAGTTTTGAATACAATGCATGTTTTCCTGCATTTTCTCTGGTACTTATAGATTAATGTATTAGGCCCACATTTTTTGTGGCAGATATTTTTTTTATGCCCCCGCCATAGCAGAGCAGGCATTAATTTTTACCCTTGTCCGTCCTGAAATTGGTTTCTGTTCTCTAATTAGAAATAAAAAGATGTGGTATGAGGGCCAATGAGACAACTCTCCATCCAAGTCACAATGTGTTAAAAGTAAACAATTATAGGTCAAAGTACGGCCTTCAACACGGAGCCTTGGCTCACACCAAACAGCAAGCTATCAAGGGCCCCCAAAAAGACTAGTGTAAAACAATTCAAACAGGAAAACCAATGGTCTAATCTATATAAAAAACGAGAAACACTTCTGAGCCACATCAACAAACGACAACCACCGAACAACAGGTTCCTGACTTAGGATAGATGCAAACAAATGCAGCGGGTTTAAACATTTTAACAGGCTCCAACCTTCACCCTAACCTGAAATAGTAGTATAACATAGAAAGACACACTATTAAATATCAATTGAAATGGCTTAACTCAATCAAAAAGACATATTAACAAAAACAAGTAAACATACACTGAACGAATAAATTGGATCTATGACACAATATAAACACATTATTAAATAAAAAAGGGGAGATGTAAAACAATGTCAAAAAGACAACTATAACCTTGGACAAAATGGCGTTAAATAAAATACTGACACAGGTAAATTCAAAAATAATAATTTTGTTATGGGTACGGAAATATTTTTTACAAAATCAAACTTTAGTTTGCCTCAACCAAATGTTATGAAACTTATACACAATGCTTATTACTACAAAACACAGATCAAGTTTAAATTTGGGTGGCTTCACTTCTACCTTTCTAGAGTTATGCCCTATACAAATGGGAAAATTGCTGAATTTTTCATTTCCGTTTTCTAACTTAAGTTTGCCTCAACCAAATGTTATGAATCTTATACACAATGCTTATTACCACAAAACACAGATCAAGTTTGAATTTTGTAGGCGTCACTTTTACCGTTTTAGAGTTATGCCCCTTTACGAATGGAAAACTTGCTGAATTTTTCATTTCCATTCTCTAACTTAAGTTTGCCTCAACCAAATGTTATGAAACTTATACACAATGCTTATTACCACAAAACACAGATCAAGTACGAATTTGGGTAGCATAACTTTTACCGTTCTTGAGTTATATCCCTTTAGAACGTTATATGCAAGCGAGGGCATCATCTGAGTCCCATGGACACATTCCCCATTTATTTTTTATTTCATATTTAACAAGTCCAATTAAAATCAAAATCCTGGATCCACACCTGATAATAAATATACCAAATTATTGTTTATAAAAATCAATGCAATGAGATTTCACTAGATGTATATCATAACAATGTGATTCTGCAAATGAAAACAACAAATTTGAAAATATCAGAACTTTTATCATGTTGATAAATCATTTTTGCAAAGTTTATTTTATGAAAAGTTGCATTGAGAAACACAAGGTTCAGTTAATAATCAGGATGAAATTCTTGTCTTCTATAATTTATACTTCATTTTTTTGCAGGTTTGTATAATGACAATTTAGAAGACCAGACTCCATTTGATTCAAGTGTTACTGACACAATACATAATTTTTTGAATAGACTGCCATCACCAGTCTGCTTATTGGCACACAATGGTAACACATATGACTATCCACTTCTCTTGAAAGAATTGCTACGATGTGGTAAAATTTTATCACCAGAACTTCTGTGTGCAGATTCCCTCATTGCGTTTAAAGATTTGGATGGGTATGTTCATCCAGGTGAGAAACCAAAATCATCGGATGGCTCTTCATCCCAGCCAACATCAAGGGTGACAACTCCATTGGACTCACTCTTGCAGACTACAGATTTATCGCAGTCTTTAAATTTAAACAGGAAGACACCTCTAGGTCAGCCTATTCCTGAAACAACTTGTTCAAATATGAAGGAAAAGGTAAGACAGTTAAAACGAAAGTGTGATGCTAGTTTTGACCGCGGACCAATTGAGGCTAAGGCTGTTAGGAAACGTTTGTTCCAGTCAGACCCAATCGATATAGCAAGTTTAAATAAAGAGGTCAAGTCAGAGAGTGGTAATAGAAACTTTGCTGGTAGCAAACCATCAACACTTGAAAAACTAGTCAGTGCTAAACGATTTAAACCAGAAGTTGAAACTGTCAAAAAACGATTAAATTTTGACTCGGATGATGATGATGATAGTACAGATTCTAGTCTTAATTGTAGCACTGATTATGAAATGTTGGAACGTAACAGTGCAATAAATGGACATGCAATTGAAGAAAAATCAAATTTTACATGTGATTTTAATAAAAACTTGAAGCAAGGACCAACTTCATATTTTTCTAACCTCGATTCTCAGGGCAGTTTGAAAGATGAAGATCTAGTGAATGCGATAGAACAAGTAGAAAATAAAGTGCCAACATTTGGAATGGATGGCCTTGAAAGTCCAACCCACTGCCAAAATTTTATTGATGTTCCAACAACTAGCAATGCTATCTGTGTAACTCCTAAAAAAGGGGAGATTATACATGTAGATATTCAAACAACAAATGAAACAACACCAGTGAAAAATACTCTACCAGTCAAGTCAGAGTTGAAGTACACACCAGTTACTCAATTAGCTAGATTTACCGAAAAAGTTCAACTTAACACACCAAAGTCTTCAAGGATGAACGAACAGTTAAAACAGTTAAGTGCTGGACCTTCTGCAAGTGTAGGTAATCACCCGTCATCATTTAGTGCTTTCGTAACAGCTAGTTATAGCAACACAACAACTGTTAATTCAAGCGCGTTTGGTGTTCAGAAGAGAGTGTCTTATAGTTTGACAAACATTTATAAACGTACTTTTGGATGCGAACCAGCAATATCTCACACTGCAGAAGATGATTGTAAAGCATTATTGCAGTGTGTAAAACGTAAATCTCCAGACTTTATACGATGGGTTGATAGGAACTCTATTTTGTTATCCAATTTGCAACCGATGAGTTGATGAGATATTTTGTTAAGATTTATAGGAAATTTTTTTGTATTTTTTTAAATGGTTGAGCCATAAAAGTTGTTGATGTATTGTTTTTATGCCCCCGCCGTAGCGGAGGGGGCATTAATTTTCCTTCAAATTTTACATCGTTGATATTCTATATACATTTTGTATATGTTGTTTTTTTTTATAACAAAATGTACACATATATGTTGAATTCTCTGCATGCTATTTTTCTAGACATATTAAAGGAAGACAGGTACATACATGTAGTATGCAGATTTATCCTGCAATTGACCATTTTAGTGATTTTGATATAAACTTGTGAGATATTCATTTACATGTAATACAATGTATACCAATATTTCCTACAACATGTACGTGTATCCTACTTCTTTATTATTAGAAATCATGATACTTATCTCACAGTGATTGAGGTAAAATTTATTTAGTTCATTATAGATTCCTCTTTGTGGTTCAACTTCCAAGTCTTAAGTAATGTAGATTTATATTTAAAAAAAAACAATGGAAGGGAATTATACATGTTATATGAAACAATAAACATACTACATACTACATGTATGTCAGAAAATATATAATTTATTTGTACTTATTTCAAAACTCAAGAAAAAGTTGTTGAGCCATACATAACAGTTTACTTCTTGTTTCTAAAGATCTAACAACAATTGTTGTATTTTATTTTTTATATAGTGTTCATTATAAATCACATTAATTGAGATTTTTTTAATACAGTTTCACTGAAGATTTTTATTTAAAAATGACATGAAATCTGAATGTACACATATTTATTGAAACCATGGATGTATTATCTATGTTACTTCCATGTTGAAACATATGTTTTTTTTAGTGTTTATGCACATTTTTATTAGATTTAAAAGCTTGACCATATTGATTTGGTTTTTTTTAAGAGCTCTTGTTTGGTTTTTTCTATTGTTGATTTTTTTCACAACACATCATTTTTCAGGTCTAACATACATACTTAAAGAGCACTTTTTCATGCATTTAGAGAGTGAAGAGTTTGTCCAATACAATTTACAGTAGTATAGTGCATCGGACAGTAGTGTGCATCACATGCATTTATTCCTATATTTCTGTAATTTATAACACAGTTTAAAAATTGGCATTGAGAGAAAATTTATGACGGTTATATTTTACTTACACAAAAGAGACATTGGACCTTCATTATTAAACCCTTATGAAGTAAAGTTTTATGAATGACTGGAATAAAACATTTTTTAGATTAAAAATATTTATTGCTAAAATCCTAGATTTAAAATTTAATAACCATCAAATAAGAAATAAGCTTTTGGTTCTTTTATTTGCATAACTTTAAGGCAAGATTAAACAATATATCTATCATTTTTTTTATGGGATTGAAAACTTTGTTATGATCAGCATATTTTGTTAAAGTTGAAAGGGGAGATAACTACATCAGGTCTCATCACAGCAAGATCAGTTGTTGATTTTTACTTTTATTTGCATAACTTTAAGGCAAGATTGAACAATATATCTATCATTTTTTTTATGGGATTGAAAACTTTGTTATGATCAGCATATTTTGTTAAAGTTGAAAGGGGAGAAAACTACATCAGGTCTCATCACAGCAAGATCAGTTGTTGATTTTTACTTTTTATATATATAGTTTATACTGATATTTGTTACATCTGTAAATATTCATACTTATTTATTATTTATATATATTGGTTAGATTTTATATATATTGTTAGAGATGCTTGTTTGTTATTATATAACTGCATAAATGTAGATGTTATGTACATCGTTTATCGTACATCGATATATTTTGATTTACAATTTTCTACTCTACTTACAGTAATGTTAACTCACAAATTTTCTAGTTTTTTTTAAAGTTTACTTTTATTTAAAAAAAATCATCTAATTTTATTCTTGGTTGAATTTTTTTCTTCTAGAATTTATTTCAATAAGTTATAATTTTATCCCTGAATTAAAAAAAATATATACATTGATTTTGTTTTAAAAATGAAAAGATATTGAGATATAAGATTTTATGTATATCCTCTGTGGCCCTGTCATGTCTGTATCCTTTAGCCAAATACTTATCCTGATTGATAGTGTTCATTTTATAAGAGTGTGATTTTGCATTTTTCAGTGGCATTTAGTTTTCTACAATTTAGTTTGAGAATGTTCATTCATTAAGAGTTATAAGCTATATATTTAGCATGCATGTCAGAAGATAATTTTTTTTTATATTTAAAAAAAACATTTTCCTATCAAACTACTCTAAATATTTAAATTTTTTTATAAAACACAATTTTGGATACTAAAAAACGCTAAGATCAAAAGGGGTGACACCACAATTAGGCAGAACAAAGTAAAAAAAAAAGTTTGAAAATGTTAAAATAATAATGATCAAAAATTATTACATAAGACTTATAGAGTAGAGTTGGTTGACATTTGACATTTGAACTTTAACATTTTCTGGTGTAGTACATTTATTTGTATTATTTTGAACAACACATGTACTAAATGGCATTGAGTGACATTTATCAAAACAAAAGAAAGTAGTAAACTAGTATGAAATACTCTCATGAATATGATGATGAGAACAATAGTCCAAGAATTGTAAAACTGTGATAACTTACCAAATAAAAGTATTTTATTATGATTTGTTTTTGTTTGTTTGTTGATATGTTGTATGCTGACAGGTCACTCAGATTAAATAAAGACATTAACATACAGTCTTCATCAATAAACAAATGTCTATAAAATATGTTAAGATCTATATCATTCAGAGACAAGGTCTCAGATGACACTAAGACGTTAACATACAGTACTAGTCTTCATCAATAAACAAGTGTCTATAAAATATGTAAAGATCTATGTCATTCAGAGACAAGGTCTCAGATGACACTTAAGAGGTTAACATAACTTAACATACAGTCTTTATCAATAAACAAGTGCCTATAAAATATGTTAAGATCTATAACATTCAGAGACAATGTCTCAGATGACACTAAGACATTAACATAAAGTTAACATATAGTCTTCATCAATAAACAAGTGCCTATAAAATATGTTAAGCTCTATATCATTCAGAGACAAGGTCTCAGATGACACTAAGACCTTAACATACAGTCTTCTTCAATAAACAAGTGTCTATAAAATATGTTAAGCTCTATATCATTCAGAGACAAGGTCTCAGATGACACTAAGACGTTAACATACAGTCTTCTTCAATAAACAAGTGTCTATAAAATATGTTAAGCTCTATATCATTCAGAGACAAGGTCTCAGATGACACTAAGACGTTAACATACGGTCTTCATCAATAAACAAGTGTCTATAAAATATGTTAAGCTCTATATCATTCAGAGACAAGGTCTCAGATGACACTAAGATGTTAACATACGGTCTTCATCAATAAACAAGTGTCTATAAAATATGTTAAGCTCTATATCATTCAGAGACAAGGTCTCAGATGACACTAAGACGTTAACATACAGTCTTCGTCAATAAACAAGTGTCTATAAAATATGTTAAGCTCTATATCATTCAGAGACAAGGTCTCAGATGACACTAAGACATTAACATACAGTCTTCATCAATAAACAAGTGTCTGTAAAATATGTTAAGCTCTATATCATTCAGAGACAAGGTCTCAGATGACACTAAGAGGTTAACATACAGTCTTCATCAATAAACAAGTGTCTATAAAATATGTTAAGCTCTATATCATTCAGAGAAAAGGATAATTAGGCAAACATTTAACAGAGAGCTTAACTACCATATTATATTTAGTTTTTACATAAAAAAATATACAAAGGACCCCAATAAAATATAGAATGCCACATTTTCAAATCATGTGATCGAATGCTGTCTGTTTTTTCCCATCACTTTATGTACACCAAACATGATTTCTCAATTCTCAATATCCCTTTAACTCAGTTTTTCACAGGAAATGCTGAGGCAAATCATACCAATTTTGAATTTTTCTTGCAACAGTTTTCATCAGATGATTAACAAATTTTAGCTTACACGTCAATAGTAGAGTTTTCTAGCAGACATTTCAGTTTGTTAGAACTGCTAAACTCATTGAAATTATATGTGCCAGAAGTTCTCTTGCAATTGTTACTTGGTAAAAATGGGCAGATTAGTATGTCCACCAGTGTGAAAGTGAAATGTTGAAGAAAATTTTTCTGAGCCAACAAACCATTATAATACTACCATAAAACACTAAGCCACTTTCTGGTGGTCATTCCATTAATACAGATTCATGACTGGTTAACCAGATTGGCTGATATCAGTTGAATAATGACGAAATAGGTAGAAACTATTGAGCATAGTTAAACCAGTTTTAGAGAGGCGACGTGAATCACATATGGATACTAAATAATACAAAGATCTGTTTATAGTAAATACAATCTAAGACTCTTTCATCTTGCAATAGTATTAAAACAGTTGACTTTTGTACACTTTTCACAAGTATTCCCCATTTAAAACTAAAAGACAAATTGAAAGAGTCGGTCCTGCTTTATTTAAAAAAAAGAATGGCTAACATAGAAACAAGTGTGTTGTCTTAGGGATGGATAAGTCGTACTTTTTAAAAAAAATCACTCTGATCCAAACAAAAAAAATCTCTAAAACTGACATTATCAAGATGCTTGATTTCTTGATTGACAACATATTTGTTACGTTTAGAGATATGTTTAGAATCAGCATTCCCATGGGAACCAACTGTACTTGTTCCTTTATTCACACGAGGCTGACTTCATACAGGAATGAAAAAAGATAGCATTGTCCTGTAACTTAACTTTCCGTTATATAGATTATGTCCTCTCACTAAATAATTCAGTGTTGAACGCATCTATCCAATCGAACTTGAAATAAAAGATACAACAGATACAGTCAAGTCTGGCCCATATCTTGACTTACATCTAGAATTTGACAATGAGGGTCAGTTGAGAACAAAACTTTACGACAGAAAAAGATGAAAGAGATTATTTCAGCTTCCCAATTGTAAACTTTCCATTCCTGCAGCGCCTGCATATGGAGTATATATCTCCCAATTGATAGATATTCCAGGGCTGGCGCCTCCTATCATGATTTCCATTATAGAGGATTACTGCTCACAAGGAAGCTATAAACCCAACAGTTCCAAGTGGTAAAGTTGAAATCATCCCTTGGAAAATTTTACGGACGCCCATCACGAGTTGATTGACCGTTATGGAATGTCTGTTTCACAGATGACCACGGATATGTTCCAGTCGTCGTAACCACAATCCCGTCCTCCTTTTCCCCAAATGTGACCCACAGAATTAGACTTTTCACCAGTATGTACTTGTATGAGCAACACGGCGGGTACCACATGTGGAGCAGGATCTGCTACCCTTCAGGAGCACCTGAGATCACCCCCGGTTTTTGGTATGGTTCGTGTTGCTCAGTCTTTAGTTTTCTATGTAGTGTTTTGTATACTGCTGTTTGTCTTGTGGTCTTTTTCTTTTTTAGTCGTGGCGTTGTCAGTTTATTTTCGACTTATGAATTTGAATGTCCGTTTGGTATCTTTCGCCTCTCTTTTACAAGGGAATATGGTTGGAAGCCTTCTTGTGAGGCACTGAAAGTTCATTTGAGTTTTACTGTTTATTTTTATACGACCGCAAAAAAAATTTGCGGTCGTATATTGGTATGACGTTGGCGTCGTCGGCGTCGTCGTCGTCCGAAGACACATTGGTTTTCGCACAATAACTTTAGTTTAAGTGAATGGATCTCTATGAAATTTTTCCATAAGGTTCAATACCACAAAAGGAAGGTTGTGATTGATATTGGGGGTTATGGTACCAACAGTTAAGGAATTAGGGGCCAAAAAGGGGCAAAAAAATAAGCATTTTTGTAACTTCCAGACAATAACTTGTGTTTAAGTGTATGGATGTCTCTGAAATTAAACCACAAGTTTCCATACCACAAAGGGATGGTTAGGATTGGCTTTTGGGGGTTATGGCTCAAACCATTTAGGAATTGGGGGCAAAAAAGGGGAAAAACAAGGGTTTCCTGGTTAATGGACAGTTTAAAAGCAATGAAAGGGAGGTAATCCAAAAACAAAATTGTACAAACTCCATTGGAAATTTGAATTGAGATAATGACCATATCTTGAGGGAAAGAATTTTTTTTTGGAAGGGGGGGGGGGGGGGGGTAAAAAAAGAAATTGGGGGGGGGGGGGGGGGAGGGGCAATTTTTTTTTCATTTCAGATTTCAGAAATTAAAAAGAAAATTGTAGGGTTTCCTGACAGAATATTTTATTCTAAAATTGTTGAACTAATTGAAAATATGCAACAGCATAGTGTATTTCACAAAAGCAAAAAATTGAATATAAATTCAAATCATATAACCAATTCTAAGTTCTTTGACTACAGTTATTCGGTGTCAGAAACCTATTGTGTGTCAAATATTACAATCCGAATTCAGACCCTTATCAAGCGCGAATATTGTGTCCAATTTCGCCCCAACTGTTCAGGGTTGGACCTCTGCGGTCGTATCCAGCTGCGTTCAGCGAAGCATTTTATTTTTACCTGGGTGGCTCATCAATGTGGCTGCTTAGTGAAGTTTGTTGAACAATTCTTGCCAGTTAAAATCAGGTTTGACAGAATGTTTAGTGTGAGATGTTGACAGTGTGTCGTTACTTTTGATGCCAAATAAGGGAGCTAATGTGATTGCAAGTTTGGAATTCGATTTTTTCATTGGAGATTGTGTGTTATATACAGAAAAACTTTCGTAAGAGCAGCTTAAAAATTGAAAATTGTAGGGTTTCCTGACAGAATATTTTATTCTAAAATTGTTGAACTAATTAAAAATATCGCAAGCAAGTTCCTTGTTCGGTACTGTCCAAGTTTTATTACTTTTTTCAATCAAAAAGTAAGCAGAATGGGACAAAATTTACATTGAATGTGTTAGATTGCTTTTGATTTATTGTTTGTCTAACTCTAGTGTAGATATTGCAATTAAGCATATTCATAATTTGAAGGTATTTTGGCATAGTAGCAGAAGTTTTGCCTTGCAACATGCCACGTATGGACAGATTATAGAGTTGTGACAAGGGTTTTATAACGTAAAGACGTTATGCCACTATCCTCACGAGTCAACGTATTGAATTTCCCGACTCTGAACGGACGTGGCTGCGTATTTATACATACCGCACGGCCAAACGGACGTATTTAGGATAGGTTTTACTGGAAGATGGGAGAAGTCACAGGATGACCATATTTCTATACCCCAGTCAACCACATTCATTGCAAAATAACGTTACTCATTAACAACCCAAGGGCATTGCATGACCGAATAAAAAGGTATAAACTACAGCCAGGCAATGAACATTTTCTCAGATCTAACAAAGGCTAAATGTTAAAGATACAGTACAGCTAATATTCTATTTCAGAATTTTGTCTTACGTTCTCAGTGATAAGACAAGATGAAATACATAAAAAGATTAATTATGCTTTCGAAAATCTCAATTAATAATTTCACCGAGGTACCCGTATTAGGAAGGTGCCACGCTCCTTGCACGAAAAAGATCGTATCATCCAGTATCACTCCTTAACAAGGCTCAGCAGAGGTCGATGTCGAGGCTAACTTTTCGAATTCTATATATATTTTCTGTTGAAAACAACTTTCCAT